AGTAAATTTAAAATTAAAAATATTAATAAAAAAAAAAATGCAGCGGGATTCTTTTAATGATAAAGATCCGTGCAAACCGAAAGAAGTTTCCATATTTACCGAAGATTTCGGCCTGTGCGATTCTGACGATGATATAACGGAAAAAGATTTAAATACTTTGTTGAAAGAAGAAGCGGAAAAACTGGAGAAGGCTGAAAAAAAAAAATCTTCCAGAGAAAGTGTTACTCCTGCGAAAAGTACTGTTTTTGTGTTAAGCAATCAAATGCAAAATGAAATCATCGAATTAGAAACAACATCAACTGAAATAGTTCAAACTGTTAAGAAAATAAAAAAAAAAAAAGAATGCAAAAAATTTTTTAAAAATCCATTTTTTACAAATCCACTTAAATTTTCAACGGATCTTCCTTTACCTCCTTCTGCTCCTCCTGTTCAAATGTTAACCCCAATGATAACTGAAGAGTCATCGGAAAAAATTTGTAAAAAAAAAAAGAAAAAAATATGTAAAAAAGTCAAACAGGTTCCTGCTGTGAGTATTGTTAAAGTTTCTGAAGATGATGATAAAGGTAATGAAGGAGATATTGAGGACGAATCTGAGGACGAAATCGATGAAAAAAACAAAGAAACCGTTGTAGCTGTAACACATGATAAAACACTTAAACCTGAATCAGAACGGGAACGAGTACCAGGATCAGGACCGGGACCAGGATCAGGACCAGGATCAGGACCAGGATCAGGACCAGGACCAGGATCAGGACCAGGACCAGAATCAGGACCAGTACCAGGATTAGAACAAGACAAATCTCAAAAAATGGAAAAAGAAACATATAGAAAAAGAATGTTTATCGACAAAATATTTAAAGATAAATCAGAAGAGAAAGAAGGTGACAAGAAAAAACAATCCAAGACTGGAAAAGATGGGAAAAAGGGTTGCACAAAGAAGAAACCAGAAAAACCATTATGCAGGCCAAAAGAATCTGATATTTCAATATCCCTTTTACCACAACAAATAATTCCTCTGCAAAGAGATTTACCATTAACATCACCAAAAGATATTCCAGAAGTAGAAAGACAGTTATTATTGGCATGTGAACCAAAAGGAAATAAATGTAAAAATCGTGAAAATAAATGTAAAAACAAATCGAGGTAATTGTAAATGAACCAAAAAAAAATTTCCCTCATATTTTTTTTTTTTTTTTGTTTATTTCGACATAAATTTTAATATAATCAATTATATTTGATTATATAAATACATTTCAAGAAATTAAAATAATTTTTTACTTTTTTTTAATTTTACAAAAAAAAAATATATTTTTTTTTTTTTTTAATTAAAACTTTTTTAAAAATGATTTTTAATGTTTTTAAAATTTTTTTTATTTTGTCTTTTTTTTTTTTTTTAAATTGTTTTTTATAATAATTTTGTATGACAATGTACAAATTTAACTTGATTCTTTCTCTAATTTATGCACAAAAAATTGACTGTATATATACATATATGTTGTAAATGTAATATTAAAAAAAAAAATTGTAATAATGTTAATGAGACATTTTAACATTAATATCATTATTAATAGTTTGAGTATTTGATGTATCAGAAGTAGTCAATTCAGTATTGGATGAAGATGTGTTAGGGGTCCACAAACCACTTCTAATAAACCTTTTGGCAGCATCCTATAATAACACATAAAAAAAAAAATTGTAATTATTTATAAAATGATCACTTGGAAATTATTCAATAATTTATATTACCTTGTCTATAACAGGCATAAATTTCTTTTTATCATATAATTTCTTTGACTGTAACATGTAATCTTTAATTCTATTTATTTGATGTTTTATTTCATGATTAGCTGGATCAATTCCTTGCGTTCTAAGATGAATCCAGTAAAAAGTATTTATGGCAAACGCTAAAAGCAAATCGAACCTGAAGAAAAATTTAATTAATTAGCCGGAGAATAATATTGTTTTATAAGAAATTGCATAAAATTTTTACATAACGGTTTTCCTTCACAAAATAATTAAAATTTACTAACCTAACCTTATCTTCTAACGAAAGTGAATCGTAGTCTGTATTAGAAAAAAAATTGTTTAAAATACTAGCTGCGTTTTCGACATTTTCATTTAGTTCTATTATTTTCGTTTTAAAGTTATCATCATTTTCTAATTCACCAAAATCAAAAACTTCTGCCATTTTTTTATAAGAAATGATTTGAAAAATAAATTCCAGAATGAAAATATATATATATGTAAATAAAGTGTAACTAGACATAAAAATCGTGAAAATAGAAAATAATCACTTAAACAAAATCAATGTGTTAAAATTGTTATTCTTCGGTTTAAAATATAAAATTTTTTTGTGTTTATAATAAAAAAAATTGTAATTTATTTTTATATTACTTAAATGAATAAATGCGCAGAGAAAAATTCTAAAATAAAATTAGTTCCGTAGATGATGATGATGACAAATTACTTGAACAATGCATAAAAGAAAATGATAGGTGCTTTCACACAAAATGTGAAAAATCTATAAGAGTTATAAGATTAAATTGTCAATTTTGTAACAATTTTTTTTGTACTTCACACATTTTACCAGAAATTCATGGATGCGGAAATGCAGCTAGAAAATCAGCATCATTTGCTAAACCTAAAAAAACATTGAAAGAAGAGGATAAAGAAATGTTGGAAAAAAAAATGTCCCAAAAATTAAATAAAATGATGAAAGAGAGGAAAAAAAAGGCAGGGAAATAAATAAATAAATAAAAAAAAAAACTGCATTTAAAAAAAAAACTAATTATTAATAAATAAATAATTATGCAATGTCTCGATATTTATTTAATGTTCAAAAAATTTTAAATATAGATTACCCTTAAATTAATTTAAGGTTTAATTTATATATATATATATAAGGTGTAATAAATAAATTTTAATACAAAAATATACTTTATTTCAAACTAAATTATAATACTTATATAATTTTATTTACAGATTCTAATTATTATTTATTTATTTATTTATTTTTTTTTTATACGTAGTATTAATAATAATGTTTAATGAAATTTTTAATTTACATACACAAAATTATTATTATTATTATTTCTATTTTAATTAATTTAATACTACAAAACAAAACAAAAAAAAAAAAAAGGTAGTATTTCTTCATCTATACTCATGAATCTAAGAAATACTTGTAATGTTGAGTTGTATTATTTTACCCTGTAAAAAAATTTTAAAATCATACCATTTTATTAAAAGCCATTAACCATTTTTTGAAAAAAAAAAAAAAAATTAGTAACTATTTGTGTTAAAAATATTCTTTTTTACATTAAGACAATTTCAATTATTTAAATGATTTTATTACATAAAAAAAATATTTTCGATTTTAAAAAGGAAAAATTTTTTGTAGGATACAAGATAAGTGATGACATCATTCATCGAAAACTTAAAGAAGATCATTGTGGTAAGTACATTTCATTTAATTTTTTTAAAAAAAAATGTTTTTAAATAATTTTGTTTTACTTTAAATGTGTCATTTAAACCTAATTTCTAGATAAATTCTGGAAATTAATAAAAAAAAAAAAAAAATTTTTTTTTTTGAATAACTTATGCAAAACTTACTTTTTTCCACATACATATAAGAAAACAATTTAATATTCGAATAGTAAAATGTAACCTTCCATCTTTTTTTTTTTTTTTTTTTTTTTGTTAATTATCTCTGTAGATTTTAATTTTACCGAAAAATTTATTATTTAAATCATCCGACCGACAATAATAATAATAATAATAATTGACTTGATTTGTTAGTAGTAACCCTTTGATAATTTTAAAAATTTATTATTTTTAAT